CCCCAGCATTCTGTGATTCTGTGATTCTTTGTAAAGTTGCTAAACATGCAGTCCTCTAAAGCAACTGTCCTGGTTTGGGTTCAGACATGCTGGCACCTGATCTTGTGGAACCATGCATAACTTCTGCGTGTTGAGAACAATGTCATCACAGACACACAGACAGCAAAGGACAATTTATTCCTGACTGGGTTTTCAAATTCTTAAGCACAGTTTCTGTTGGAAAATTTTACATTAGTTTTGGGTTTTTTTATCTTCCCCGCTCCCATCCTATTTTTAAGTGACTATTAAAAGTAGTCTGACAATTAACATCTCTAAATAAAGTCTTGCCTATTAACTCACCATCTCTTGTTATGCTTTGTAAATTTACCACTTCTTGCACCACTACGTTTTCTCTGTTTTTTAAAATGTATTTTATTGTTCTAATTTTCATGTCTTCTGCTCTGTAACCGTGTTTTGGCTGAGTTCATGTTTATAGATTTGCTTCCAGATTCTCAGGTAATCATAGTTTTCCAACTGTAGCCTCTCAGATACAGTAATACTGCTTCAGATTAAAAAAAAAAAAGGAGCTGAAGTTTAGTAATGAGTGAGGAAGGTCCAATAGGCTTTGGTAGTATATTACTGGCAAGTAATTTTTTAAGAAGCGACATGCATCTCCTCAGGTAGAGCTCCTAAGAGTTTTGCACATACTTGTCTAGATTTCTTTTATTGATATTGCCACTAAGGCTACTTGGCCAGTTCTTCCAGATGGAGTAACTGTGAAAGAGTAAGGCCCCGGTGGCTATGAGGACCTCAAGATAACAGATGGCTTGTCACTTCCATGTAATACAAGAGCAAGCAGGGACAGGGAAGTTCAAATGAAACTAGAGAATGATCAAGGTATTCAAATGAATTATCCATTAACAAAACTTGAGGAGTAATCAAACCCCGCATGTGATACTTAGCATGTGGAGATGACTTCTGTGCTGTATGAAAACAATTTTAAACTTGGGGGAAAAAAGCGAAGGGAGGAAGGGTGATGCCCTACTGAGTATTAACTTTGCTTCAGGTTAGGAGCTATGTGATCTAATGTTAATAAATGTATTAGCTTTGCAAACTTTTTGTTAAAAACATGCCTGGAAATGGCTGAACATTAAACTGCTAAGTGAATTAAAATGAAAAAGTACACTCTTGTGTACAGCTAGTTGTCGGATGGCATAAAACTATTAAACTGATTCCAAGCATTTCAACAGTGTGTGCTTGCACTGAATGTGTGCTTGCATTAAAAACTGGTTTGTATTTAAAGACTTCACCAAGCAATATTCTTTCAAACACAAAATATGTATTTCTGTGCTGTTAAAATAATAGGATGAATCTTGAGTAATAATTACGAATCTGTCAGTGAACAAATAGAAATTAAAAATTGAACATGTATGACTTTTAGTAAAAGATGCATTCTTATTGTAGTAAGAGTGGTCATGGCTTTTCCATGCTCTGAGTAATTTCATTCTGATTCATTGCATCATTTTAGAGTACTAAGAAATATGCAATGAAACAAGGATTCAACTAGGCAAGGCAGGTAAGAATTATTTTTGTTTGTTTGTTTTTGTAGAAGTAACTTCAGTAGCTGCTAGTAAAGATATTTGTAAAATATATTAGAAGATATTAGTACAGTTATTATTAAAATATATGTAAGATTAATGTATCTTCTTATCTTGGTGTTAGTAAAACTATCTTTAAGTCGTAGATACTACTAAATGGTATCTCCTGATCTTTTTTAATGTAGAAAAGATGTCTTATGTAAGAGCTGACTTCAATGTTCAGAATAAGTAGATGTGAAATCTTGGAACAATCCTGTTTCTCGAGTGACAAGCAAAAGGAATTGCAATCCAAAAGGCTGCAGTAAAGCAGTGGAGGTTTTTTGGTTGATTTCAGGAGTGTTCTGAACAGTCTCTTCATTGTCTGTATATTACTTTCCAGGGAAATTTCTTGGCCAAATTTTATCACAAGCTATATACAGAAAAATCTTTGTGGTCCTTCCAGTGACAAAAGTCAGCAGGGTAGGAGCAGCCCTGATACGCAAGGGGCCTCAGCAGTCCCTGTTGTCCCACGTGATGCAGGGCATTACTTTACACTGCCTGTGTGCCTGGAGCTTTCTGCAGTAAATGTTTGTGGTTCTTGCCGAATTAAAACCCTATTCCCTGGAGTATTGTTGGAGATAAGATTGTCTTCAAGAGGTTAATAACATGTTTAGATCACTTGGTCCTGTAAGTAATAATACTTTTTCCATATAGAGATGAAGAAATGAAAATAAAGCCAAAGTCACTTACAGAGGTCAAATGAAAAATCTATGGTAAAGCAAAAAATATAATCTCTTTCTTTTTGACTGCCATTCACCTCTCTGTTCAGAGGTGCATGCTAAAGCATGTGTCAGTGCACACAGGGCGAATGAACATGGAAAGGCTTTTTGCAGAGGTATGGTGTTTCTAGTTACCATCAGTAATCTGAAGAGATCGGCTGTAGTCATTTACACAAAGTTTTCAGATTTTGTTTACTTTAAAATATACAGTGAATTTTCTACAGCAAGACAGTTTCAACAGTAAAATATAAAATTGAATTATCTTGTAACATCTCTCATATTTATCAATATTGTTAAGGTTTGTGAACAATTTTATAGTTATGTAAAAACAGCTATTGCATGAGCCAAGATAAATTTCAGTACAGTCCTGTTAGCTTCACTGGTAACTTGTGACTTACTCCAGCCATTGGTCTAGGCTGCTGTGTTTCATCCTGAGATGTTAAAAGAACACGTCGTTAAATAAGCACCTAATGATTGTAGAATGCTAGGTGCCAAGGGTAGCAAAGTATGAAAGTGCCATTAGTTCTGGTTTAGGCTAATTTCCAGTTTATTGGTTGGTGCTGATGTTGAACATCAGTTCAAGTCCACCTAAAGGTAGCTTAGGTGCAGTAGGTACAACAGTTTTATCTTTTACCTAAAATAATCTTCATTTTTATTAATGATCTTATGACTGCGGCACTGCAATGCTTTGTAGTATAGCACTTCTAGTGAAAGTGTTGTTACCAGAATTTCTGTACTTGTTTTAGAGTTGCCAGAAACACATACCCTGAAGGGAAATTTTAAAAAAACTCAAGGATTTTTTGACCATGAAAAGACATGACCATGACATGACCAAGACATTTTGACCACGTTAAGACATGTCCTTTCTATGTACTGGAAATTGCTTTAAAATAAGCATACATATTTTGAAAGGAAGAAAAAATACTTTGTTCTCTCATCTCCCTATGGATGTGTTGACCACACATATATATATATGTTGCATATAGATGTTATTTGGAGTCCATAAAGATGGTTTACTTCTTGTAACCTAACCATCATGTGTTCCTATTGAAAGCAGGTGGTATTTTTAGAGATCATAACGCTTGTATCTTATAATTTTTAAACCACTTTATATTTTGCTTTTAAAAATCAGATCTCCAGAAATTCAGGTTTTAAGCCAGTCTTTAAGTTGGTAATGTGCAATTCTTATACATACAGTTTTGTCACCACCCTTGGGTGTTTCAAATTACATTTTTGACAACCAAGTAGACTCATATTTATTCCTATTCATATTTATGTTTAACTTTAATGTTCGAGCTCTGATCTTTATGCCTGAGCTACAAGACCATCTTTATTAGTAAAAGCTTTAGAAATAGCCAGAAAATGAATTTTGTTGTACACGGTCTGTTCTAGTTTAGATTTTTTCCCCTCTGTAAAGCAGGCAATTTAGTGTTGGCTTTTTGATTCTGTACTCCTCCAGGAAAAAATAATCTCCCACAACCTTTTCTTCCTTTTATGTGAATGGTCCTAAAATTAGCTTATGCCAAAAGTATGTTGGAAAATATCATGCCTAGTTAGTTCTTGAGTTTTTTGCAAGAACTTCACTTCAGCAAATAGACACACGTGAAGTTGTACCATCAGGTCTCGAAAGAATCACTTACAGTCGTTTCAAGATGTATGGGAAATTATGTGCTGGTATTAATTGCTGGCCACAAAAATGTTATATATGGAGAAGGGGGTTCACCTGGATATTCTAGAAATCTGACCACACTCAAGACCTGATACTTTAAGCAGACAAATGTAACTTTGGAGGCTTTTCAGGTATGTACCAAGATTAGATATCAGAAATGTCAATCAGTAAGTTGTATTTAGCAGCTATTTAGTCATCAAAGTAAATTGAACTGCTCTCTATATTTTCTCCTTCAATTTGCAGTCCCACTGTAGCAATATTTTGCTATTTCCTGGAATCCAGGAAAAAAAAAAATTGAAATCTGACACTGATTAGTGTATTTTTATTATCAGAATGAAACAAATGGAAAAAGTAAAGAAAATATTTCTGGAAGAATAGTAAGCCACATTCTGGACAATACTTTCCACTCTAAGACATGCCATTATGTCAGCACTTGCAGAGATTTGCACTTTACAAAAGGCCTCCAACGTTACTGTTGCTACAAAGAAGAACAAGAGTGTGGTTGCTTGCTTGTGCTTTACCATCTTGCGAAATAGAAACATAGGCATGGAAAGCTTAAGTACATCTTGCCATTTTTCACGTGGTTTTGTGTATGAGTAGCTCAGCTTCTTTAAGTAACAGAATTGATCCCATGAATGGGGTTGTTCAGTCTTTGTGAAACTGATAGCGCTCCTTGAAGAAAAAGCTTTGCTGAAGAATATTTCATTGATTTTTTTTTTAAATTGATTTTTAAAAAGAATGTTTTTATCACACAGCTTGTGTAAGACTATAATAAAATAGGTGTTTATATACTTCTGTTTATAAGTCTTCCTTTCTTAGAATGGGGTGGTTTTTTTATGTAGATCGAAAAGATGCAGAGGGCTGGGAAACGGTTCAGCGTGGAAGGCCTGTTCGATCTCGATCCACAGCTTTGGCAACAAAACTTCCTGTAGCTGCAGAATCACTGAAGTCCAAAGGTGACAGTGACAAAGAAAATGTCATTTCACCACCATCGGAGAATAAGTGTGGGAGTTCACTCACTGACAGTGGTGCATCCAAAAGCACAGAGCTTGTGCAGAAAGATCCTTTACATCAGTCTGAAGGTCCTCTTACTGAAAGGACTCAGGTCAGTACAATTTAGAACCATTTTCTAACCTTAAATCTTGCAACTTTTTCTTTAGAGATTTTTCTAAAGGTAGTGTTATCTAGAGCTTTTATTCACTAACTAGGTTGGAAAAGGATTTAAAAAGAATTACTATTTCAGTTACATTTATGGAAACACATTAAGATGTTCATACAAATAGGCAAGTTAAAAATCGTGAGGTGAACCATGTATTTTACAATGCTTTGGATGGGTTTCCCATGTTTTCCAAAAACTCAGCATTAGGCACATCTCATACATAGAAAATTTCAGGTAGAAAAATCCAACTTTTACAAGGTTATGAGCAACTGAAAATATCTAAACGTGAAGTTATTTACATCACACACTGTGAAGTTGTCAGGTATTTTGTTAAAATCTTTTTGACTATAAAAAATCCTTTTGACTGACTTTAGAAATCAATCTGTTACATTTTGCTAATTTTGCAAATGTCTCTTATTAGTTCACAGCACATGCCTCAGAAGACAATGGGAGCACTGGCACACCATTGCAGGAAGATTCCTTACAAACAATTTCCAAGACGCCTCCAGTTCTCACAAGTGCTGACTGTACTTCAGAAACCCTGCAGATTAATGAAACTTCCTCCCTGGTCACTGACACTATAGACAAGCGTCAAACACAAAAAGCTAAAACTGATACTGAAATGGATCCCACAGATATTTCAAATGTGAGTGCTGCCAGATTGGTAAGAGATCTTATAAGATTTCTGAGTAAATAATAAATATAAGCCTTAATTTTTTCATTCTATGCTGCACAGTGTTTATTGTTAGCCTGCTATAGAAATTCTAGGAAAGTTTCTGACCTTAAACTAGAGAGATATAAATGTGTTATTTGGAATAAAGAGGTCTGTGCCCTCATTACTTTTTTTACATGTATGTTTGCCATAATTTTTAATTTCCTTCCACTATCAATCATTTCAAGTCAGACTCTCATTAAATTCTTACTCCAGTTTTCCTAATTATTCAAACTAGAAACACATGGCATATCAAAATTCTGTTAAGAAACCAATGTAGACCTCTGCCTTTTAAGACTAGCTGAACTGCTCTCTTGGGTCTTCCTATACAGCTAGCAATTTGGACGACTGCCATTCCTAAGCAACAAATGTGAAGTCAGTGTTCTGTCTTTACATGACTTCCCAAAAAGAATGTCCTTTCTTGTCTGTAGAATTTCGCAGGTTTCAAGGTGTGTCTGCTTTACTGGGATTCTCTGAGCGGAGAGTAGCAGTAATGCTGTGTAAAATCTGGATTATACTTTCAGGTTTTGTTTTGGTTTGTTTTTTTCAGAAACTAGATTAAAATTCTGATTTGCCGTTTTCCTGTAAATTGCTTTCCCTTAACATCTTGTACAAACTGGACTCCCGCTAGGTAATTTCCGATTCAAGTATCTGTTTGTTTTTAGAGCTGATTTCTAGCATCTCATCGACTAACATTGTTTCAGATTCTCAGTTATTAACAGTTCAGGTTGCTGACAGTTTGGTGGGATCTGTCTCTCTTGTGAGCGTTTTACTACTTCTGATTAGATCCTTGAACACCAGTTTGTGTGTATTGTGGCACATTGTTTGGTAGCCAGAGCAGAAATGAACCAGTTAATACTGGACATTAGAGAAGGCAACAACCAGTGAGCATACTCAGGCTTACATTCTTACTTAACTCTCGTCACTCATGCTGAAAAACAAGTATAGCCTGAGATTCCATTCTGGTAACTACAGTTAAGCTTCCAGATACAGTTCATCTGCAGATGCATTTTCATCTTTAAGTAATACTTTGGAACATAAATCCTTTTCTGGAGGTAACAGCGGGGCATGCCATTAATGTTTTGGAGTCTGTGTTGCTTGGTCCTTAAGACTAGGAGAAGAGCTGTCTTTGTTGCTTTTAATGACAGTGTTTTTGTAATGCGTTTTGGAATGATGTGAATGATAATTAATTTCATAAGTGTTTCATGTAGCTATTAAATTAGTTAATCGTTGCTAACAGTTTTAGGGGGTTTTGTATTTCACTTACCTTCACAAAATTTAGCAGCGAGGAACTAGAAGTAATTAGAAGTTAAACAAAATGTATATAATTCATATTAACTATATGGAAACCACTTTTTTGTACCTGCTTCTGATGTTGGGTTTTTTTCTGGTTTGGTGTTTCCTACAGTCTATGGCAGAAGTCCTTGCTAAGAAAGAAGAGTTAGCAGATCGCCTGGAAAAAGCAAATGAAGAAGCCATTGCTAGTGCTATTGCAGAGGAAGAGCAATTAACTAGGGAGATTGAAGCAGAAGAAAACAATGACATTAACATAGAGACTGACAATGATAGCGATTTCTCTGTGAGTGTTCAATTTATTTTGGAGTGCCCAACTTCAGGCTGTCTTTGGTGTCAGCAGAGTATGAATATAGAATTCATTGGTGTTCATTTTTGCATTAATGCAACCTGTTTTACATGTAATAAAGCAAATAGTGTCATGCAACAATTATACCATCCTCTCTAGGGTATATTTAGTCTTACTAAACTACAAAGTCCTCTGATCTTGCAGTCATTGTCCTGCTGCATACTTCTGTGTATGAAACTAGGAGACCTGGGCCTTATTGTCACTGCTACCATACAGGAGCTACTCTAGGTGAAGCAGAAGTCTCCTTTTCTACTTTCAGAAACAGCAGGAACAGTGTCTGTCTTTGAGATGGTTAATTCAGTTTGGAAACATCACTGAATATCACTGAGTTGGCACTGTTTAATCTGTGTGTACACCTGCACGTTAAGGCTTACATTTTTACTGTCTGGATCATGTTACATTTCAGGCTAGTATGGGCAATGGAAGCATATCTTTCTGCGGTATATCTATGGACTGGAATGATGTCCTGGCAGATTATGAAGGTAGATTTTCATTTATTACTATGCTTACATTGAAATGACAGTAAATTTTTTTTAAAATACCCATTTTACTCATGGCTAGTTGAGGTTTCAGAAGATCCCCCTATATTATTCCAAGTTACATTATTTTTTATATTAATTCCTTAGGAAAGGTGGACTTGTGTGTTTGACTGTCTCCACGTGTCTTTTCTTCAGCTGTCTTCCCCCATCTCTCTCTTAGAATTTTAATTTTTTTAATCTAGCTTTACCTTAACATTTGGATAAAAAAGCCTAATAAAATCATGAAGCATTGAAAATGCACAGGGATTGGAGATGCTTCAGTCTGTGTTTGCACCTTGGGTTCAAGAGTACCCATTGGAGGAGAACTTAAAGAGGAACTAAGCCTCATTATTAATTGCACTTCTACCAGAAAAGTGTGTTTTAATTATCTAAGTCTTTGTTTTCTTTATGTACAGCCCGTGAATCATGGCGCCAGAGTAATTCTTGGGGAGACAGAGTGGAAGAAGAGCCTGCACGTCCCCCTGGACATGGAATACACATGCATGAAAAACTGTCGTCACCGTCACGCAAAAGGTTTTAGAGTTGTTACCTGTCTTGATTAGCAAGTGAAAACAAGCAACCAAACTCATGGCTGCCAGAAACTGTTCATAAGTCTACTTTCTTAAGTCTGTGGGGGGAAAGTGTTACAGAAATCAGGATATTATTTTCATAAGGAAGTAGGCTTGTCCAGTAAATAAAGATTTGAAGACTGGAAGAACAGTATTTACATGTAGGGGAAATAATTGCCCTCCAGTGCCTGTTTGTTTTCTGTTTCTGAAAATGACATAGAAATGCTTGCAACACTATCAGTTAATGTTGTCTCACTTGCTTTTACTCTGTTTTGTTTTTTATTAAAAGAACAATAGCAGAATCCAAAAAGAAACATGAAGAGAAACAAATGAAAGCTCAACAGCTGAGAGAAAAGTTACGTGAAGAAAAGACATTGAAGCTTCAAAAATTAATGGAGAGGGTAAGCTTGCTGTAATACAAAGGAGCCAGTCTGCTGCCTTTCAGAAAAGTTTTTTTTTTTCTTCTACGTAGTCTAGAAATGTTAGATTAAAACTAGTGGTGAAATGAAATTTTCCTCTGAGTCTGAGTTTATAGTTTTCACGGATGACTCGTGCATCACAGATATTAAAGAAAAGCATTATTTCAAATCATAAACTTCTGTAAGAGTGCTGTTGACATACTGTACTGACTCAGATTCAGGTAAGGCATGGTGAGAGTAGAAATGTGTTGCAGATATCCAGTGTAAATACTAAAACTCAACAAACTGAAGCAGTTAACAAATCAGTATATTTTGGATTAAACTTAATGCTGACTTTGTGTCGGGCATCAAAATGTCTTATTACTGTAAATAAAACTTCAAATATTAGGAAATTCTGAGGAAAATTCAAGCCCCATTTTCAGTTACTGTATTAGTAATGAATTTACTCATTATATAAAGGAGAAAGATGTGAGGAAATGGAAAGAAGAATTATTAGATCAAAGACGCAGGATGATGGAGGAGAAATTGCTCCATGCAGAATTTAAACGTGAAGTGCAGCTACAAGCAATTGTGAAAAAAGCACAAGAGGAAGAAGCTAAGGTAAGTTATTTTGTTATTTGTAAAGAGAAACTATTTGATAGTCATGCTTGTATATGTTTTATACCTCAGAGTGCTCACGAGTAGGTTGCGAAGGATGGTGCAAGTTTGATGTGAACACGTGTGAACCATGAAGCGGATAAATTCCAGTCTCTAAAATGGACAATTTTTCTCTAATATGAATTTAAAATTAATTAGCTGTTATTAGACATCATGGTGAGTTGGACTGGAAGAAAGGCTGGGTTGAAATAAAGAGCTGATAATTGTTTTGCTGCTTTTCTTCCTCACAGAGAATGGCAGCACTTTTGGTGATAACTAGTCCTCCTGGAAGGAGCAGAAGGTCTGATTATCAATTCTCTCCTTTCCAGCATGTAGAATGAGAAGTGGGGAGCTCTTCTCCTTTGTTAAACATCCATTCTAGGTCCAGCATTCTGTGTCCTTAAACAATGGTCCTGTTGCTGTGTTTTGTACCACTATTATTGTTAAACAGCTGGAAATCAATAGTAACCTACAGCGCATGGCAACTGTTCTAAAATAAGTATTTTTTTAGTCCTCTTCTAACTTTAATACGTAAATTCATAAGACAAGCACTAGATGGATGCTTTTTGTTTTACGTTATTCATATTACTTTGGTGAACATTCTTGTTGTGTAACCCCAGCCAGCAACCAAGCCCCACACAGCCACTCAGTAACTCACCCCAGCCCTGATGGAATGGGTAGAGAATCAGAAGTGTAAAAGTGAGAAAACTCTTGGGTTGAGATAAAAATAGTTTAATAACTTTTTTAAAAAAGAAAAAGTATAATAATAATTTGTAAGGAAAAGGAAAATAACAAAGAGAAAGAAAACCCAAGAAAGACAAGTGATGCAAGTGAAGACAAAGCAGTGGATGTGGTCTATCTAGATT